ATTGTATTATTTAAAAAATGAAAGGATATATTTCTTGTAATATTAAATTTTCTTTACTCGCATTTCTCCTTGTTTCAATATTAATATTACTACCCTATATTTTTATAGAAGATTCTAGTATCTTGAAAATACTTCTTAAATTATCTAGATAATACTAATAATGTCTTGGGGAGAAAAAGAAAGTCATCATTAGTTTATCCATAAAGTTGAAACTGAGGCTAATTTAACAGAGAAGGTCAGGGTTAAAGCTAAGGTTTGAATAATCAATATCCTCTAATAATTTTGAGTAAAAGAGTTTCTCTTTAAAATAATTTTATAAATACCTTGGAGAGGATACTCCGCTTTAATATTCATTTTTTTCAGTTTCCTCAAATTTTTATCATGTAGGTCAACAAACAGGAAAACATAGGTACAAGGTTGACTTTTCTCAAAGTTTTTCCAATTTGGTTTCCTTTTTCAGTGGTGGTATTTTTAATTTTCTGTTTGACTTTTTCATTTACATAAACATGAAAATTTTGGACAGCTAACTTTGACTCTAAAATACTTTTGACATATTCTTTCATAACGCTTGTCAGCATGTATCAAAGGCATGCTAGTTAAATTATGATTTTAAGTACATTTACCCAATGTTTCTGGGTTTTGAGGACTCTATAACAATGAACCAAATTTACTTATCACAGGGAGTTTTTAAAAATCCAGAGATTTTGTAAGACCATGGGGTGACTTTGAGATTTTATCATAATATAATAAAATAGAGGCATGAGATCACTGCAGCTTTGAGTCACTAGAAGTTTGGTTTTGAATTTGCCATTCAGTTTGAACCTTCTGTTTGAGAATTGAGAAAGCATGGACTTACAAATGTTTGGCATTTTCTAATTAAAATAGCTTTATGATCACGTTTATGATGTCACCTGCAAACAAGTATTCTCGTTTATTTTAGGCTCCATTTGGGCATGAGAGCATGAAATTTATTGGAATGTCAAAGAAATGCAACAAACAGATTGGACAGAGTTTCTGATTCACCTTTGTGCTGTCCATCAGCCCAGTCACAGAGAGCATGCAATAGTAGATACATATTTTCTTGCATAAATGTATACTTCACAAAAATACTGTCCACTGTGTTCATGTGGTCAATTTGGTACAAACAATACTGGTACACCTCCCAGTATTGTTTTTATACAAAGACCTTACCATCTGAAGAAGCCATTTCCTTTCGAAAATTCAGCAAATCACGCTTTGCATGGTTTGAATTTGAAAAATCTCTTTTTTTTTAATGAATAAATTAAAATCTGGATTTTGTCATCAGGGAAAAATAGTTTTTTCTAGGTTTTCTAAATCTGGAAATAGGTGTTTCAGATGTGAAGTTCATATGCCTCAAGAAAACATTCATTTTCAGTGGAAAAGAACTTGGTGTCAAATCTGTGTCAAATTCCAGTGTAAATATAAATTTTAGTATCTTGGGTAACCTGTAAACTGCTGAATGCTGAGAACTATTGAGTGAGAAGTACATTCTGTGCTTAACCACTCCCCCCCACCTCCCCATACACATTTTTTCCCCCTAAGTTCTTGATGTTTATGAGGTTTCTCATTAGTGTGAACTTGCTCATGTTAACAATGTGTGAGGCACAAATACAGGCCTTCTCATCTTTTTACGCTCAAAAGTCTTTTCACTAGTTTGAAATCTCTGATGTACAGCAAATTGGCGGCAACCATGAAAGTTCTTCACAGATCTATTACATTCATAGAGCTCCTTTCCGTTATGAATTCTCTTTAGTAGAGTAAAGGTGCATGTTTCTCATGAGTGGGCATTTCTCCACAGCTGATTGCTTATACCTGAAATCAAAATGCATGCCATGGTTTTACACCTGCAAAAACTGATCAGTCCTCCTTGGGGTTCCTCTACTGGTGAAGAACAAAGAGAATCCAGAGCTTGCAAAGTGTGACAACTGTGCAAAAACAGAAGGGCTTCCCCATACACATCTGACTCAACTTACTTATTTGGAAACAAAATTCTGGGTTTTCATTCTTCTTCTCTGGTCCATCCTTTGCTAGTGCTTCCTGCTCTTCCTAACCTCTAAATTTTGTTCCAGGGCTTAGTCTTAGACTTTTGCCTTCTACCTATGCACAGTTCCCTGGTGATTTCATTCAGTCTCATGGCTTTGAACACCATCTATTTGTTAAAGGTTTTTATATCTCCAGGCTGTACTGCTTCTTGATTTCCAGACTCACATATTTCCACTTGAATGTCTCTCATAAGACCCTCAAACTTAACATTTCCAAAATTGAGCTGCTGGTCAATCCCACTCTCAAACTCGCTTCTCCCACAGCCTTCCCATTTTAAAAAGTAACAACTTTATTCTTCTAGCTGCTCTAGCCAAAATTCTTCACTCTTCTGTTTCTCACCTACCACATCCAATCCAACAAGCAAATTCTGTTGGCTCTGCCCTCAAATATATTCAGAATCTGGTCATTTCTCAGCCCTTCCACCCATCTCTTGTCTAGCTTATTGCAATCGCATCCTAATTGGTGTCTGAAGTCCCATTCTTGCATCCCTATTCTCAATATAGAAGTCGGTGCTCCTCAACTCACACAGTAAAAGCCAAAGCCCTTATGTTGACCTGTAAGACCTTCATGATCGGCTTGCCAAAGAGCTCAATGATATCATCTCCTACGACTCTTCCACTTGTTCATTCCACTCCGGCCTCACTGGCATCTATGCTGTTCCTGGAACATTCCAAACATATTCCTACTTTATGCTAGCTGTTTCCCTGGTGGAACTCCTCACCCCTAGGTATCCACATAACTTACTCCCATATTTTTATCAGATCTTTATTCAAATGTCACTTATCAGTGAGGCATTCCTTGGCACCTTAGCTAAAATTATACTTTCTTGACACTTCCTATCCCCATTCCCTCCTTTACTTTTTCCTTTGTACTTATCACCATCTAGCGTGGTATATATTTTACTTATTACTCTTGCTTATTGTCTGTCACTTCTCAATAGAATGCAAGCTCCACAAAAGGACAGATGTTTTTACTTGTTTACTGCTATATCTCAAGTGCCTAGAACTGCACCTGGCGCATAGTTGTCACTCAATAACTATTTCCTGCACATAAATGGTTTTTAAAAACAGAAAAAATCAGTAAAATCCATACAATATAATATACCACAATATTAACATGTACTGTGAATAGTCATCAATAATCTATCCTCCTAACTACATAAGAATCTTCTAATGGCAGAAATCTTATCTTACATCTCTTTTCATTCTTAGAGATTGGCATAGAATATTACATATACAGCAACTACTCAATTAAACATTTGACAGCAGGAAATTCTGCCTAAAGACAAATTACTAGGAGATAAAAATAGAACAACAGAATGATTACCTAATTCAACATTAGATTGGCATGAAGGAAAGAATGGCTTTAAAAGTAGTCTTTTTCCCTCTAATATTTATGAGCGTTAGCTTCCAGTGCTAATTTAGAACATTCACTCCAAAAATGATCACGGACTGCCATGGGTCAAGATGGCCACCAGACTTGTTAGTAATAACAAGGACAAAAGGTTGAGGATTGGCTCTGGACTTGACACGTTGGCCACCTCATCTTAGTTTGTCTTTGGGACCAAAACATGGAATATTGGAGATATTTAATAATTAACTATACAGTTCTCTCTTCTATAAAATTATAATATTTCTTCAGACTACAATTATACTTCTTCAAAATCAATTGACTTTTGTGGGTCACAGCTTGAATAGTCAAAGGTTCCTGGAGAAGTGGCAAAGACAGTCATCAACATAATATTACAAATCATGACAGCAAAGGAGCTGACAGAAGGCGATTCTGAGCCAGTCCAATTCATGTAGAACTTGTATGTGAAATGTAAACAGACTATAAAATGGTTACACCCAGACAGGTTTGCAGACCCACACCTAAACTCGTTTCAACACACACTAAAGAAGTACAACGGAAGCAAGATGAGAGGAAAATTTGATTTCTCCAAGTACGACTCCTTGGAGAAAAGTGTTTGCTAACCTAATTTCTAGAAAACCAACAACTATTATAGGATAAAACAAAAAATAAAAGATTTAAATTCTAACCAAGAATTCTGAGTTCAATTTAGAAAATGAAGAGAAATGAAGAAAAAGGCAAAAACAAAAAAAACAAATCTTGATTTTCAAAAATTCAACTAAAATCACAGAATTATCCATATCAACCAACATACAGACAATACTTGATTCTGTTTTATCTACCTACCGAATGTCTATGACTAAATGTCTAGGTTCACTAAGCAAATAATAACAACAATGCAAAGCACTTCCTACTTTTCAAATTCTTTCATTATTTTATTTAGTCTTAATTATGTTCCCTTAAAATTACCTGACTGGTCTAATTATTTAAATATCCATTGGTAGGCATGCAAAACACCGAACAGAATACATTTGGTAGGAAACAGGGGAAGAGTTGCTTTGATACTGACGTTAATTCCTAGTGTGTAATATCTCAGGTAGGGTTTTTTTTATTTCTCCCTTCTGTCAACCACTCCAACCATAGCTAAATTAGCCTGTTCTGACATTACATTATACAAGACAACATCAGCATCTGTGTGAACAGGACATAAACCACTCAATACTAAGACTCCACACAACACTGGCTCCCCAGTGAATTTCAGGGCTTCAATAAGATCACCTAACACTCTTTCAAAATGTAAAGCCAAGCAGTAAACTCAGACACAACACATCATCCAACTTGTCTATAACTGTACAGCAACATTACTAGGGCTCAGATAAATTTTTATTTCTGTAAAATAACTTTGCTGCCACTTGGTTATAAAGAATAGAACTTTCTAATGACCTCTAATTCTCAGTTAACATACTATAGTTCAACTTGCTTACTTAACAGGACATGCAGGATGTTTTGTTTTATTGTAACACTCAATGACAAGTCCACAAATTACTGGATAAATGCTAGGAATTTCTTTCCTTTTATCAGCTTACCCAGTTTAGCTGCGCCCTCTGGTGGGTACTCAGGAAACTGACCCTCGGAAGGGACACTGACAGTTCTCCTCAGACATCGCCCTTTGGTGGAATCTGTCTGCTGCTCCTGTCCTCCCTCCACAGGTATCTAGTTAACCAAAAGAAAAAGAGACGCAACTTAATGCTTAACTCTATTAAATTAAAACATGGTAATTAACCATAAACGCCTTCTGTTTGAATAATGGTTTTAGTTAATGAAGACAGGAGTTTGTAATCGTCAGTGCAAAGTAGAAGAAATGGAGAATATAAAGTACATACAACGGTAAGGTATTACCACTCCTTTTCAAGTTTTTCTGTAAAAAGAACACTTGAAAGATCAGGAAAAGTGAGTGTGTAAGTTAACTTACATGAAGTATATACAAATAATATCCCGGTGTGTATCTGCTTTGGGAGCTCCAGAAAATAAAACAAAACACCCACACAAATAAAAGATTCTTTTACATCAAAAACAGGTTCACAAGCTCCATTCTGCCCAATGGTCAGTAAGGTAAATGGAAATAAAAGTCAACAAGAAAGATTTAGCTCCCAAATTCTCCGAAAAGAAGGTTTTGTTAGATAAAAGTAGTAAAATCACTCAAATTTTCTTCAATTTTAGAATTAAGCACTTAGAGATAGTTAATAAAACATATTTTCAGTGGTAACTTGTATAGATAATTATATAAAATGGCATACTTTCTTCCAAAAGTGACATTAGTTTTTGAAATCCTAAAAAATATTTTTTTCTGGCATAATTTCAGGAACATATCAAGTGTTCTTTGTATATGTGGAATGAGAACTATGAATGGTATAAAAGATCTGTAATGCCAATAACTATTTTTTAAAGGTCAATTTTATTTTAATTAATCAATTAATTTATTTATTTAGAGGATTAGCTCTGAGCTAACATCCACTGCCAGTCCTCCTCTTTTTGCTGAGGAAGACTGGCCCTGAGCTAACATCCATGCCCATCTTCCTCTACTTTCTATGTGGGACGCCTGCCACAGTATGGCTCGACAAGCAGTGCGTTGGTCTGCACCCAGGATCTGAATCGGCAAACCCTGGGCTGCTGAAGCAGCACATGCAAACTTAACCGCTGTGCCACCAGGCCAGCCCTGCCAATAACTATTTTAAAACTTACAGGGTATCACCGTAGACTAATAGGATGGCTCTAAGTTCTTTTTCCCCCTCCCAGTAATGCTAAAAGATCAATCACTTTAGTTTGAGGGAAGAGGCCAAGGACTTTTCACAATGAGATTTTACTAGTAAACTTTACCAGAACTAAGAATAGCATTGGTAACATCTTAGTTTGGCAAAATATGTCAGTAATTAATCACAGTCTCTAATTTCTTATGGCTCCAATATTGAAATTTCAACAAATTTCAACAATAATGACTAGAACCCAGTTCTTACTATGTGTAAGGCTAAGGAATTTGCATGTGTGACATTATGAGGGAGCCATTATTATCATCCCCCTTTTAGATGAGAAACAATTTATTTCTCCAAATGACTACAATGTGCACATATAAAAGCAATTGATTAGGGGCTGGCCCCGTGGCCGAGTGGTTAAGTTCGCGTGCTCCGCTGCAGGCGTCCCAGTGTTTCGTTGGTTCGAATCCTGGGCACGGACATGGCACTGCTCGTCAGACCACGCTGAGGCAGCGTCCCACATGCCACAACTAGAAGAACCCACAACGAGAAATATACAACTATGTACTGGGGGGCTTTGGGGAGAAAAAGGAAAAAATAAAAAAAATCTAAAAAAAAAAAAAGCAATTGATTAAACAAAACTGATAGATAGAGGCTTAAGTGTATAGGTGTTCTCCTTTGCCCCAGTGATCCAACTCCTATGACTGGGGTCAAGAGGATAATAGCAAGGGAAGCTTTCTCTGTGTTACTGAAAATCTGAAGAGCAAAGTCAAAATGTCTTCATAAGGACTGAAAATTTTCACACTCTTAAAGGACCAAAAATGCCCATTTCTTCATTACTATAACTATGGTTACTCCTTGAACACTGAGAAACTAAAAGGCAGAATTAAGAAAGGCAAAATTCTAAAAAATAAGGGAGACCAAATAATAGCATCAATAAGACATGAACTCTTCCAAAAGTACTCTGTAATATAAAACTTTATGAACAGTAATCTAAGTCATCCATCCCTTTCAGGATGGAAATTATATTATCTCTACTTAAATAATTAAAAGAGTAGCACCAAGAGGTTAAATAACTCCCTCCAAGTAAGAAAGGCAAAACTATATCCTCTACCTGCCTTAAAAGTAGGAAAGAACAGGGGGAAAACAAAAATAGTTGGATCCTTGAACAAAGAGATAAGCTTAAATAAACATAACTATTTCCTTAAGAGTTCTAAAAATGCCTATTATCTGAAAAAATGGGGGTCTAAGCCACACAGAAAAAAGGTGTAATTTTTGATATTTTTAGGAGGGAATGACCTATGATATTTTCTGTGGAAATTTATAAAGGCCATATCCAGGAAAAAGTAAGAAATGGCTTCTACATTCACAAAAATAAACTCAAAATGGATCAAAAGACTTAAAAAGTAAGACCTGAAACCATAAGACTTCTAGAAGAAAATATAGGCAGTACACACTCTCTGACATCAGTCTTAAAAGGATCTTTTCGGACACCATGTCTTCTCATGTCTAGGCAAGGGAAACAATAGAAAGAATAAACAAGTGAGACTTCATCAGACTAAAGAGCTTCTACAAGGCAAGGGAAAACAGAAGTGAAACAAAAACACAAGCCACCAACTAGGAAAAAATATTTGGAAATCATATATCCAACAAAGGTTTAATCTCCATAATATATGAAGAACTTACACTACTCAACAACAAAAAATGAAACAACTCGATCAAAAAATGGGCAGGAGATATGAACAGATATTTCCCCAAAGAAGATATACGGATGGCCAATAGGCACATGAAAAGATGCTCATCATCACCGATCATCAGGGAAATGCAAATCAAAACTACACTAAGACTTCACCTTGCACTTGTTAGAATGGCTAAAACAACTAAGACAAAAAATAACAAATGTTGGAGAGGTTGTGGAGAAAAAGGACCCCTCATACACTGCTGGTGGGAATGCAAACTGGTGCAGCCATAATGGAAAACAGTATGGAGATTTCTTAAAAAATTAAAAATAGAAATACCATATGACCCAGCCATCCCACTACTAGGTATCTATCCAAAGAACTTGAAATCAGCAATTCAAAGACTCATGCACCCTATGTTCACTGCAGCATTATTCACAATAGCCAAGATGTGGAAGCAACCTAAGTGCCCATCAACTGATGACTGGATAAAGAAGATATGGTATGTATATATATACAATACTACTTAGCCATTAAAAAGAACAAAATTGTCCCATTCACAACAACATGGATGGACCTTGAGGGTATTATGTTAAGTGAAATAAGCCAGATAGAGAAAGACAAACTCTGCATGATTCCACTCATATGTGGACAATAAACAAACGCATGGACAAAGAGAACAGATTAGTGGTTACCAGGGGGAAAGGGGCTGTGGGGAGGGCACAAAGGGTGAAGTGGTGCACCTATAATATGACTGACAAATAGTAATGTAAAACTGAAATTTCACAAGTTGTAAACTATTATAACCCCAATTAAAATAAATTAATTAAATAAAATAAAAATAAAATTTAAAAAAAGAAATGGCTTCTATTGTCATATACTTTGTCTCTACCATATCTAAGGAGAGGATAAATAAATATATTAAACTTATTTGGGCCTAGAATTCACTCACAATGATTTTCTCCAAGTTTTAACAGAGACTCTTTGTTTTCCACTGTTGAAACTTACAATATGATCAGAGGTTTTATTCAAAGCATCACTTTTAAAAGTTAGGGCATTTTACCTCTGACTCCGGGATATAAGGAAGAATAGTGTTCACTTTTATTCTAAACCCACATTTCTTAAGAATATTTCGCTTTTACAACACTATTGATTGCTCCTTACCTAAAATATTTTTTTAAAGATATTGATCTACTCCTTGAAAATTAGAGGGTTCATATTTCAAGTATCTTCCAATGAACTAAACTAGAGTTTACAAATCTTAGTAGACAGCCAAAGAGAATCAGTTTTAGAAAGTCAATTTCAGAAAAGCAATTTGGTTCACTCTGTCTTATTTTAGTTTACTACTCCACATTTACTTGTTTATACTGAATTACTCTTTAAAAATTGCCTATCTTCCAGATTCTATAACATGAAAGGAATATTTCTTTCTTTTAACCTCTTTGGCCTTGTACTATGCTTTGAGTACTCCTTTTCCTCAGGGAAAAAACCTAAAGCACTTTAATACATTCCATTGTAGATGAGCAAAGCGGAACATAGGAAGAAGTAAATGGCTTCTCAGGTATCTCAGATGTGTTAATAACAAAGTCAAACTGGATCTCTGACTCCAGTCCTCTTTACTAGTTCCAAACCATCCACAACAATGGAAGAACAATATGGCACAAAAAAATCAAGTTACTTCGAAAACATACATATTTTTTTCCTGTAAAATTATCTTTCATTTTGTTTAGAATTATATAGATATTAATTTCAATTTCAATCTGAGCACCTACAGATTAAATAGTCAATATACAGTCAAATACAGGAAACCAAGATTATGTTAACTAGCAAAAGAAAGATCTTCTCAGTTATTTCTTTTCCTAAAGAATGCTTAAAGGATGTTAGTCCCCTGTATCTTTAAAAGGATTTTTTTTTTCCTTTAAAAGGATTTTTTTAATCTTTTTAAAGAAAGAAAATTCCTCAACTTTCTTATCCCCTTAAGGTAGCAGCTCTCAAAGCTAGTGGGATCCAGGTAACGGCATCAGTTTTACCTGGGAATTTGTTACAAATGCACATCCTCAGGCCCCACCCTAAATCCAGTGAATCAGAAACTCTGGGGGTAGAGCCCAGCAATCAACGTTTTAACATGCCTCCAATTGATTCTGATGCTCCCTAGGGTCGAGAAACACTGCCTTAAGGTTTTCTCTCCTTCCTATCTTGGTTCTCAAGATAACAGTGGTTCTTAACCTTGGCTGCAAATTATAATCACCTAGGGGAGTTTTAAAAAATACTGATGGCTAGACCA